GGAAATATAGAAGCGCCTTCCTGGGAGCACAACTGAGGAAATCAGTCTGTCAAATTCTGATAAAGCACCATCAGAACGAGGGTGACACCACCTTGTTCTGGGAGTCTGTGTATACTCACACCTTGCTAGGTGTGAATTTGGGACTTCTTAAAGTCCCAAATTCTTAGTCCCTGTGCTTTCCAGAGGCTAAGAGCATGGACTGTCAGATCAGGGTCACAAAGGTCAGGGATCCAGTTCTGCCATGTACCCTAGGCAGGTCTGTTCCCCTTTCTAAGCCTCTCAGGACACAGGGACAACAATGGTACCGATCCCATTGAACTGCTGCGAAGATTTAAAATATAATATATGCAAGACAGTGCCTGGCACACAGCCAGTACCCAGTGTTGGCTCTTTTCCTTCACAAAGCACATCAAGTTTATTTTTTCATTACCAATTACAAACACCTCAGGAAATCAAAGTCTGAGTTTTATTACAAACAAAATAGAAACAAGGATATTAACTTCAGATCGCCCGTGACAGAGTTCAGTTTCTTTCTATAAATAGTGCTATCCATCCTGAGGGTTTAGCTTTCCAAAGACACAAGCCCTGTCTGATGATCAGCACCAACCATGAGTGTACAATGAGTATGAAAACACAACCCTTTCCAAAGGCACACATGGAAAACTGAATGAACACCAAGACCCACACCTACCCATTAAATTTGTGAGAACTTGAGGGAAAATGTAGACAAAGTCTTACAAACAAAATGTAAATAGCTGATAAGAAAAGAACTGAAAGAAGTCCCTAAGATCAAAGCAGACACTCATCCTTCAACAGATTTGAATCAGTAAACATTCATTAAGCTACTCGCTGCCTTCAGGGATATCCAACTGCAGTGCAGAAGCCAGGATAAACCAACAGGTTAACTGACACAACACAAAACCAGAGGAGTGTGGGAGAATCACCATTCTCCACGGGAACCTGATACAGACAGGATACTTCCTCAGGGTCAAAGGAGAATAGCACAGCTACACTGGGAAGGCTTTTCAGGTTTGAGCACAAATGAAATGGTCACAAATTAACTCATTATCTAGCAATTCTGACTCATGAAGTATGTTTTAGTAAGATGCACCCACAAGTTTTATACCATCAAGAGATTACTCTGTGGCAAACACTACACAGCATGCCATGAAGGCACAATAATGCTTATGACAACCCACAGGCACTGAATGTGAACTCCCAAGGACACCTGATCTCTACCTTTGCATTCCCACCCATTTGCACAATACCTATATCACTGGCACTAAATAAATGTTTGGCAGGTATGTGAGTAAATAAATGATGACTGGGATTAGACAGGTTTAAGAGAACACAGGTGAGCGAGGACAATGAAGACACGCACTGTTCTCCTCACCCAGCATTCATCTCCGTGTTCCTCTGCTAATCAACTCACCCTCATTATCTGTCTATGTTGCTGTGGAACTGAGCACAGGATGGGCATGTGACCTGGCCACACAAGTCACAATAGTGCGTTCCCATGGTTACAGCAATGACTTCAAGAATGCATGCCTCTCCCTTCCAGTGAGATACACTCACAGCTAATTGGGGAACTCCACTTAAGCATCCTCCAAAAAGATTCTTTCTCCTGTTGATTTTGGAGCTGAGAGAATGAAAACCTGGAATTCTGCCCACAGCCTTGAGGAGGGAGGCAGGCCATCAGAGAAGCACCTGGAGAAGAGAGCCTCCCAATGGGGAGAGATCAAGCTCTAGCAGACGTGGCAATTTCATTCTCAGCTCACAGCCAACAAACTCCTTTCATGATTTGTTCAGTTTGGGCTGGATTTTCTGTAAGAGTTCATGGAAATAAGAATTCGAATTCACAAGTGAAGAATGTGGTTGGGGGTTAAATAGAGAGGGACTCCATGCGGCATGACCTACATATATGTCAAGCCTACATTTGATTAAGTCTGATAGAATGAATTGGAGCTGGCCAAGAAGGTTGGTCAGAACAAACCCTACTGCTTTCACATCACTAAAAACAGCTACTCTCCAGCTCAGTGATGTCTTTGCCACATGGAGAGTGACACAATGCAGCCACAGCTCCAAGGTTTGATTTTGTTTTTCATTTTTTGATACTGGGGGGTTGAACTCAGGGCATCACGCTAGGCAGGAGCTCTACCACTTTAACCACTGCTTCCAGCCCTTTTTACTCTGGTTCTTTTGGACATAGGGTCTGTCTTTTTGCCAGGCCAACTTGGGCCACAATTCTACATTTTTAAACTTCCCACTATAGCTGAAATGACAGGTGCACACCACCACACCCAGCATTTTTCTGCACAAATCCAAATTTTCAAGAAAAAGCTATCTAGACGTTCAAAGTGTAAAAACAATTAATACCAAAAACAAAAAGGGAAAAAAAATGACTATAATATACAAGCCACATAAACAAGTCTACTAGGTTTGTGACTTAAATGGCCAAGGAAGTAAATTCAAATCCATATCACAGTTGTGTAGACCCAAGCAAAGGTTTCAAAACAACACAACTACATGAGTGTTCTGAGAAGCACTTGTGTTAAAAGAAAGACAATTCCTCCAGGCATACAGAAAACAAGAAAGGAGGAATGGCTACAAGGCTGCGCTCCTACCAAAGAAAGTCGTATGTCACCTAACAAGAGGGGTATGTTCTGAGAAATGCCTAGTGATTTTATCATTGTGAAGTATCATGGAGTACACCTCTATAAGCCTAGACAGTACAGCCTTGCACATCCAGGCTGGGGCGGCAGGAAGGTGAGTGGGTGAGTGGAGGGTGTGGGGGAATGAGAGTGACAGCCTATTGCTCCTAGGGCCATGGTGAACAAAACTGCATGAGGTTGAATCAAGCTCAGGAGAAAATTATGCCATCAAGAGACATGGTGAACAGGGGATGCAGGAAGCTGCTACGGGCATGCCAGGGCACCCAGGGGATGCAGGAAGCTGCTACGGGCATGCCAGGGCACCCAGTTCTACAGGACACTTTTGTAACAAGTAAAAGTACATTGAATAACCACATACACACACCAGTGACACAGTCTTTAACGCTCACTGTCATGTACTGCCCATAGCCACACTGCTGTGGTACCTCCCACAACACAGTGGGTTTGCTGACACCAGCCCCACCACAAACGCAACAGTGCTGTGCTCCAACATACAGAGGCGACATTGCTAGGAGGAGGGGTTTTCAGCTTGGCTGTCATCTTATGGGAGCACAATCTGTGCGGGTCCTTCACCGACCAACTCTCTCTTCACAGCACCTGGATGCAGGTGCAGAGGTGAAAACAGTGAGGGGAGCTCTGCTCTCCAGCCAGGCTGCCCAAGCAGCCTGTGAGGCTCTCCCGCTGTGTGCTTCTGAGGCTCTGGATTGCCTGTCCATAAAACGCCACTCGTAGCAGTGCTTACATCACATGGATGTGTGGTGAGTAAATGAGCTGGCACTTACTGTGTTGGCAGAATTCTAAAACTGCCCCAGACTGCAGCCCTTCGGTGTACATGCTCTGTCTAATAAATGAGGCCTGTTTTAAGCCATGAAGATTGAGGCCATTAGTTATGGAGCAAAAGAAATGTAGTATATTTATAAGGTACTTAGAACACAGTGTAACAGCCAGGTGTGGTGGCACACACCTGTAATCCCAGCACTCATTAGGCTAAGACAGAAGGATCACAAGTTCAAGGCTACACAGAGAGATCCTGTGTCAAAAAAAAAATACAGAAAAAGAACACATAGTTAAGTCCTCAGTAAATATTAACTATTATTATTACTACGGAATTCCAATAAAATATACATTCTGGTGCACTTAAAATAAAATTTTGAGTTGGGTGCTATGGGTCACACCTGCAATCCCACCAACTCAGAAGGTAGAGACCGGGAGGATTGAGGTTTGAGGGCAACCAGGGTAAAAAGTTAGTGAGATTCTCATCTCAATCGACAAATCAGGTGTGGTGGGAAATACCTGTGGTTCCAACTACGTAAGAGACCACAGGTAGGAGAATCATGGAGTAAGGCCAGCATGGAGCAAAAACATGAGACCCTACCTAAAAAATAACTAAAGCAAAAGGGCTGAGGGCATGGCTCATGTGGTAGAGCCTCTGCCTAGCAAGTGTGAGGCCCTTTTTTGTGTGTGCAAAAAAATAAAATTGAATTCTCCTAACAAAGATCCTTTAGCCCATATTTGCTGGCATAGAATATACAAAGGAATATAAGATAAATCCCAATGACACAAAGAACTGGGGCAGACAACTTATAAAAATGCTTTTCCTAGTATACATAATGAGTGATTTTACAGCTATTTTTTAGAAAGGAACTATGTTCACATACTATTGAGTAAAATCCAGTTGGAAATAAACAAGTTTAGGATATGCAACAAGAATCTACTAAATTAAATCTAAAATAAAAGATCACAAAGTTATTTTTAATGCATACTGGATCAACAAATTCTTAGCATGAAACAATGGATAGTAATGTTACTGGTGAATTAAACTGGAGTATTGTGTGAGCTACCATTAGTAATGGTACTATACTTCAGACACCAGTCACTAAGAAATAAGTCATACTATAAAACACATTTGAATGACTTCCTACATAGACAGATAAAACAAATGCAATAGTAAAAATCTGTATAAATCAAGCAGCAAAATAGGGTAAATTTGAAGAAATTCCTATGACTAGCCACCGTACATACAGAAATATATTTCAGCTTAAAAAATACTCAGAGTATACCACAAAATAATAAATCTGAAAGAATTCCTTATGCACACAGCTAAAGAATATCTCTCTATTAGTAAATAACCAGCCACCAAAAGCACCTGAAAACATGATTTAAAAAAAAAAAAAAAAAACTTCAATGAACACATAAGCCAGAAAAAATAGTGACAAAAGTGTTATCACAGAGGTTTGTACCATCTACATCAAAGCCAATGAGTCACAGCCCACACCTGCCCATAGCCACACCGCAGGAGCTGGGGTGTGCTCTGCATCCCACACCACAGCAAGTCACCCCAACTCCACCACTGGAAAGTGGCATGATGTACCAGCTCTGCAGAAATCTGTGATGCTAAGCCTGAACTTAATGTCCTTGTGCTGTTGCCTTTGAGTCATAAACTACAAATTAATAAACTCCTAGTTATTAGGAACAGCCTTGCGATAGATAGATCTCCATGGGCTGTGTCTTCCATGCTTGCTTGCTTGCTTATTTGCTTTTAAAAACTGCCAAAGAAATGTGAAACTTTGGTCTTTGTTGTGATGTCTTATGTTCCTGGGCCCCACAGTTCAGAGCAGCCCTGCTGCTGCTCACGTGGACCTCCAGAGAGTACTGTGTGATCCTGCATCCCTGCGGCATGCAGAGGAATCAGGCCAAAGTCTGACACGAGTGATCAATCGTGCAGGGTGAGGAGCGCCCCTTTCTAGAAAGCATGCTCCCTGAGGCTGCCTCGAGCTGAGGTGAGAACACGTGCCCAATCTCACAGTAATCATCACCGAATCCAAAGAGGTTCACCCTGCTTTTTGAGAAACACAGGCTCCATTTAGTGAAACAACGGTTACAGATTCTGTTTCACATTTGACTCTAAAACTTTACAAGAAGATGCAAAATTGCTGCCAGAACAATGTTGCATTCAACAAAAATTTAATAGAATTACAGAAACCTCATTTCAGCACAAGGCTTAGGATAAGAGCTTCCTCATTATCTTCAATGTAACAAAAATCATCCTTTTAACTTAAAAAACTAGGGGTCATAGTAATTTCACACTTTACTACGTTAGGAAAAATTAATGGTCAAGTCAGACTGCTTTTTATAATACACAGATAAGGGATACCTTCCTCAGAAATGCATTCAAATGAATATTTAAGAGGGACAAGAATGGAAATAAAGCCATCTGAGGAATAAGTTTGAATGTATCAAGAAGAAAATTTCTAACTGAAATTGGACTTTTTATTAATGTCCACAGAATTCCTAATTAGAAAGTCTAATGTAAGACTCAAGCTGGTGGAGTGGCTCAAGTGGTAGAGCTGAATTCAAACCCCAGTACCACCAAAAAAACAAACAAAAAGAAACAAAACTACATGGAGATGCCTTTCTTTAAAGTATACGACATGAGCTGGTCCTATGATTTCAACTGTAATGGTCTCTGGATGTGGAACCCAGCTTGCCTCATCATCAGCTCCTGTATCTCATGGCAGCACCCAGTCCTGACCCAAGGCAAACTACCCTAGTTCTCACTAGCATAGGACTGAAACCAGCTGCAGCTGGATGGTGAGCGGGCTACTCAGACGACAGGTGGCTATGTGTGTTTTGTGTCACCACAAAACATAGCTCTGCTCCTATCTTCATTACAAATCAGAAATGGAGATTGAGATGAAAACAGTCAACAAGATATATTTTCAAACTTCTCTGCAACTGTGCATTATATTCCTTTAAACAAAAAAAGCTTTAAAACAGGGATGAATATATTTTTTCTATTTTAATGTTTGAAATGAATAAAATTATATTCTATATTCTAAACTGTATTACTTCAATAACATGATAGAACCACAAACATATATGACTTATTTTGGAGGGAGGGTAGGTGGTACTGAGGTTTGAACTCAGGGCCTTACACTTGATAGGCAGGTGCTGTACCACTTGAGCCACTCCTCCAGCCCAGACAGGGCTTTTCAGTGGCCTTAATACAATGAGTATGAGAACAAACCTCACACATAAAAATAGTCCTTCACCTCTAATTTACTAGGGTGTAAGCACTCCCAAAATTAAATTTGTGCACCACTCTTAAGGTATAGTAATATAAAATTACGCTCTACAACGGATTCATTAAAGTGAACTTTTGCTCAGATAAAGACTGTTTTGATGGCCCTCTTCCTCATTCTGGACAGTTTAGTTACAGGACACCGTAAAGTTTGCCAAATCCTAATTTACTGACTTTGCAGCTCCTCCTGAAACACTATACGCCACACCAGCAGATTGTGAGGCTGGTGACCTAACACGCTGATTTGGACACAAGTGACTTAAAGAGTAACTTGGCTTTGCATCAGGAGCAATATAACTCACCATTTCAGTAAAAACACCAACAGCATAATCACTCAATTTCAAAATTTTCATAATTTGAGTCCACTTGAATAATAAAAATGGCGTCAGTGGGTTTCTCACTGCGGGATTCAATGCTGAGTCACTGCCCTTCTAAACGGTGGCCATCTTCCTTTTGAAACGCTTCTTTCATGAATCCCAAACTACCTGGAACACTGGCAGGATGAAACCTTGTCTTCATGTATTTGTAAAGATCTTCCTCAGTTTACTTTGAAAAACAGAAAATAAAAAGCAAAATATATAAAAGCCATATTTCCCATTTAAACACCACTATCTTGAATTAGGGACTCCTGCCAGCATGGAGGAAGCAGCCTGGGGCTTTCACAGGAAGTGAGGCCCACTGCAACAGCCCAGGAGAGAATCTCAAAGACTTGAGCCAAAGCTCCTGAACAAAACACCCACATCTATTAAGCACAAATCAACAGTGCACTCTCCTTGGGTCGCTTTCTCCATTGGAGTTCAGATTGACAACCCTCTGATTGTCAATCAGTGGGTTCCCCACTGGTGTTTCTGAAACAGAGCTGTTAAATCCTCTTAATAGAAGAGTTCGGTATTGACTCTTCTATTGGAACACCTTTCTACTATAGGCTTGGATACTGACTGTTCCCCAAAGGCCCATGTGGTAAAAGATCAGTCCCCAGGGTGGCACTACTGGGAGATGGTGGAACTTTTAGGAAGGGGGCGTCTACTGGGAGGTCTGGGGCATTGGAGTGTGCCCTTGAAAAAGCTTACAGAACCATGATCTCTCCCTTTTCACTTTGCAGCTTCCTGAACATGAGGGAAATGGTTTTGCTCTGCTACCACAATGTACTGACTAGCCAAAAGCAATGGGACCAATTAATCGTGGACGGAAACCTCCCAAACTATGGGCCAAAATAAACCTTAATGCTTTCTAAGTTTATTACATCAGGTACTTTGTTCTAATAACAGAAAGCTGACTAATACCTTCCAATGAAGGCCCAAATCAAATGGTCTTCCACCCTCAAATCTCCATCGCTAGTCTGTTACCTCCATTATCAAAGTCCATTGGAGAGAACACTGAATACCTTCAATGACTGAATATGACAATCAAGTTTTTTAAAAACGAAGAAGGTGGCAACACAGTCTTTCAAAGAACTCTCAATATAATTATATTCGAATTGTAGTAAGTCTTAACTATTCATTTTCCACATACTGCTGTTCAACACAAATTTGAACTGAAATGTATTAAGCTGACTTTCCAACCTAAAATACTTAAGAATCTCGCTGCTCAATTGTGACCCATTTCCTCATTTCTCCAATATATGAAAGCAATAAAAGGAGCTTAGGAATGACAAGGCAAACTAATTCTCCTTTTCTTTACTGCCAACACCTAATACTGAACAGCACAGTAACATATGGAGCAGAGAAGAGTTTGGAGCCAGAAGTACAGCCAACTCCAAGAGCAGACTCTAGAAAAGCTGTCTACCACACCAACAAACTCAAAAGAGCAATGTCATATGATCCCTATGAGGAAGAATGGTTCACAGTTAAAATTTATGACAGCACAAAGGCAGACCAGGATTTTATGTCCCATGTTCTGAATAGAAAGCAGCTGTTAGGCAAAGGGTGATCCCATGACTTCCTGGGAGACAATCACATTTCTTATACTTGGAACTCTGCTCTCGCTCCACAGCAGAGCCAGAAAGGATACAACATCAACAGTTTTATATACATCACAGGAAGCACCCAACCCTGCATCCATCTACAAAAATGGAAAACTGCTTAGAAGCCTCAGATTTTAAAAAGTAATTATACTAAAAAATGTTAAAAGGCATCCATTCCATATTAATATAGTTAACAGAACATCAGGTTGTTTCTAAAATCAGTATGTATTTTTAATTGTTTAAAAACATTTAATGGTGGCAAGTATATTGGTCTACAATCTTCTCACAGGCTTTCTAATTCACAGAACAGGCTCAAATTCTAGAAAAACAACATATTTTAAAACATGTTATCACATTATGACACAGAGGGGGATGCAGGACAAAATAATATATGCAGAGAAAAAACTAAGAGCAGTCACTTGGGTTACTATATACTTCTCCAGTCAAACAACAGTGCAGAGAACTGGCCAGTTCACCCCAAAAGGCAAGAGAACAACTAAAGCCCTAATATGTCAAATTATATGTCAGATGAATTAAAGGCTGCCCAGGGTGAAAGGCAGTGGGAGTACTCTGAGCCTCGCTTCCTCTGCTCTCCTGGTAGGAAGTTTCAGGATCCTGTTTTGTTTCCCAGTCTGTGTCTATCGTGGTCCACGTAAACACCTGCTGACGTGATTGGGCTTTGCAATTCCATTTGGAGAGCAGTGGGCTGGACTGTGGAGTAGGGGCTTCCCACGGAAACGCTCCCGGGGACACCACGAGGTTTTGGAGAGGAGGCAGCCACTTGCTGAGGCATGGTCACGAGGCTTCAAGAGCCAAGTCCACCATGCTCGTCCTGTGAGTTACAACTTAGCAGGAGAGACCTTGCCCAATTCTAGAAACGGAAGTGCAAATGGGCCTCAAATATTTGGTGAAATCCATTAAAGAACAGATTGGTCTCTGAAAAGGAGGACAATTCCCAGCAGAGTGAACTAATCACACCGCAGCTTCTTAGAAATAGCCAGACACTACATGTCTAGAAATCAGGTTTGCAAACAGCAGTGAGCTTACTAAAAGAAATCTTCTTCCACAACAACATTCATAATGAAACACTGTTAATCACCAAATATTCCAAGTTCTCACCTGGTATACTGTTAGAAATTAAATTTGCAAGCAAGACTTCCAGGAAAACATACAGTGCACAATACAGCACTTAATTATATGTTTATGATTTCGTTATAAACACAATGAGTTGCAGTTATTAGTAACTTAGCAACTACAGGAATAAGACCTGCTTTTTCACAAAACAGTAGTTCTTTTATTTTTTAAGTTTCATTTTATGTTCGGTAATCTATAATGGTACAAATTTATGGAGCAGAACATGATGTTGCAATGTATGTATACACAGGATACTGATCTAATCAACCCTATGACCCTGTGACCCTGTATAGACAATCACAGTGATCAGAGACAAGACTTATCAGAGAGAGAGCATAGCATGAAGGGGCAGGATGCACAGAGGTCTGCACTGAGTCCTCTCCAATCTCATGGATGATGCTTCTCGACACAACCTCTTGTGACAAACTAACTGGAGGGCAGAAGAGAACTTCTTGCTCTTTCACCTTCCATTCCTGCCACAATGGACAATGTCTACGGGAGTTTGAGAAAATTTTCCTGGAAAAACCTTAAAGAGTGGGAAGGAACCTTTCAGGCAGGATGAAGGACCTGTGTGAACAAAGGCTGGAAGAAGGAAAGGAACTAAGCTGAAAGGTCCCTGACAACTGAGCTGCAATGGTTCCCACTCCACCAATGCTGACAGCAACCAGCAAACGTGACTTTCCCAATGGCCTCACTCACTGACAGTCCTCTTTAACTTTGCACTTGAAAAGAACTTTAAATACCAAAACCCACGTCTAAGCATTCCTTCTTCTACTCCAGCAAAGAGAGAGCTGATTTTTAACTGTGGAGAGCAAATGCCTTGTATGTAAACATGTGAAGGACTCTGAAGATTCTCTTGGCTGTCTGTGAGGAGAAAGGAAGTAACAAATATCATTCTGATCTCAGTGCTTTGAGCAAAATATCTGTAGCACCAAAAACATCTTTTTAGTAAAATTGCTCTACGTAAAAGCTAGAAGCCTGCCACAACCATCAGCAGAGACGTGGATATCTTCCAGGAATGATTTCCAAAATCTCATCACAACCTTGCAATTATCTAATTAGCAAATGTTGACAAAGCAGTAGTCTACCAAGCACTGCTGGTGGGGTACCCAAAGGTACCTTCCACCCAAGCAGCAAAGGAACAGTGATTTCTACACGCTCACACCAACCACTGCTTACTTGTCAAAGACTTTGATGGCCTCTTCTTGTGGGTCTCCTATACCTGACCAGCTTTACAAATTGATTCCAAAATACCTCAGCCCCTCAAAGATGTTTCTAGAAGACGCACCGGCCCTGCCTGCGTTTACTTGGAACTGAATCACAATGCCTCTTCAAGCTTGAGTAGCTTCAGGAAATAAGCTGACCACAATGTGCAGGACTAAAGCACAGAGCCTGAATCCCTGACTTCTCTGGTACCTCATCGAGGCACTGGGAAGGGGCTGCAGCCCTGGGGTTGCTTCCAGTCTGGAAGGAGCCAGCCAGCTCCACGAGGGTAGGAAGGGAATGAAGCTGGCGGCCCTCGCATGCCCTATTTAAAAGCACTGAGAGAGAACAAAGGCAGCACTTTAATTCCTGCACTTTTTTGCCAGGAATTAAATGATCCAGATCTGGACTTGGGAATTTATTATTTTATCACCGTCATCATCATCTCTAGTGACAGCATATAAAACTGGTTGGGATTAAGGTAAAAAGTGAGAAGCAAGGAGATTAGTTGGAGCCCACTGAGGTAAGATAAGAAAAGGACCCAAAGTAGGGCTGCAGCAAAAAGATACAGAAAGGAAAGAGCAGGGTGAAGAAATGCTTGAGAAGCAGCGTGCACAGGGCGTACAACAGGAGGGGACAGTGAGAGAGCCCGCTGAGGTTTCTGGCATGGCTGGCTCAAGGAGACCACATGCCAAGTGAGCAGGTAGAAAAGGCTCCACTGAGGGGAAGATGGAGCTTCAGCACTGGGCATGAGAAAATGAAGTAAGATGGATGGTGCAGGTGAGGATTTTCATGAAGCAGCACAAGATATGGGACAAAACATACAAAGGCAGGAGACGAAGCTCCAGTGTCCTCAGCACACAAGCAACAGGAGAAGGACAGGAGGAGGTCATTCTTAAACAAAATGATGACAAAGGGAAGAGAATCATGGGCCAGTGCTGCCACAGAAGCCAGCTAGAAGATTTCTAAAGGGCGAGGTTAGGTAGGGTGGCACATACCTATAATCTGAGCTACAGAGGCATAGGTGGGATGACAGCAATCATGGCTGGTCCCCAAGGAAAAACACAAAACTTTATCCAAAAAAAAAATAAAGCAAACTAGAGATGAGGACGTAGCTCAAGTGGCAGAGAGCACCTGCCTAGCAAGTGCAAGCCCCTGAGTTCAAAGCTCCATAACACAAAAAAGAAAAAAGAAAAAAGATTTCTAAAAGGTAAACAATGTCACAAGTTAACAAAGATCTACATAT